TATGTTTATGTTTATGTAATTTCAAAGAAATCCGCATTTAAGACTTCACCATAGAGTTCATCAGTTGACGTACGGGGGCGCGCTGCATCAAATCTTCTTGAACGTAAACACCATTATTACAGATTATTTATGTGCCCGAGAGCGGTGTGAATTTTTACAATGAAAATCTATTACCTAATGTATGACAGTCCTCCCTTAGTAAGGCCCTTTGTTTTATTATATGTTTGTCTCGGTTCGTCACATTAATAATTCGTTGTGGTATCGAAAAAAGAATATAATTTCGACTATCGCATTTGGTCGTGAACTTCTCATTGTTTTCATTCAACAAACCTTAATTAATAGGTCTAGTTGGTAGTAGTTCATAGAAGAAATCGTATACAGGTTAACAGTCAAGTAGGCCTATAGGAACTATGGTGACATGAATTAAAACTTTGTCTCGTCTTTGGTGAAGCTGCATGACTGGTAAATGAGCGCCTGCGAAAGTACGACTTCCTGACTTCTGCGTTGGTCACTCTTTTCCATCTTCGGTCTCAAAGGCTGTCTTGCTGCATGGCAACGTCTCATCATGTCACCTTAATTTCGTTTGTAAACTTCATACCAATGTTAGGATGTGTTATTTTCCTTTATTGTGCACTGATGTTTATGTTGTTGAATTTATAAATGAGTTAATGTATGCTTCTTGAATCCTATTTGGCTCTAATTTATAAAATATTCATTAACTGGTTGACATTTATATAGATTAGTGGCGGCACAGTTTCCGGTGTCGTCACCACACCTGCTGAAGGATAAACGATGAACGTGACCAAACTAGCCAAACATTCGCCCTGACCATGCCCTGACATACATGACACTGCGTCTTTCTCTTTCATAAGTTTTATATATTTAATGTGTTCGCAAGACGATTGGGAGTAAGAGATCATGCTAACTTTTAGTGAGTTGTTTAAACATTACTAAACAACCAACACACAGCACATTTATTAGACTGAAGATAATGTTACTTTTTACTAATTTTACTTTTTAATACTAGTCTACTATCACAACACCTCAAGTTAAATATGGTAACTTAAATTATTTTGAATACAGTATAATATAATAATAATTATTTACAATCCTCCGGTTAAATTACCAATCATTCCCACTATATACTTTTATGTTTTTTGATTGACTACATTCCTAAAACAATATTATATAATATTACCATTTAAAATGTTTCACAGTATAATTAATTATATTTACAGCTCCATGTCTCTAATTTGTGTTTATTACAGCACTATTATATGTTATTTACACAGTTACGGGTGACTCTTATTAGCAACACCTCTAGTTATAACCCAATTGTACTTTATATTACCGCAATTGCTACGTATTATACTAGATGCAACAGAGAGTAATTATTTTACACATTATCTATTATGGCTCTGCTCGGGTTCAGGCCACAACTACGGTAAATTGCGCTCGCTTAACCAGTGTTCTAATTTTCAATTGTAAGAGTTAGCTAGCCTCCACGCAGACGTCCTGTCATTTGGATGTTACTCTCATGGCGGATGCTATAGTCTTTTAATTTTCTTTGATCTTGCAAAGTTTTTCCATGAGAGACCAACACTTGCTGACTCGGGAGTATCCCAGTTCGTGGCTGAATCTTTTCTTTCAATTCCCGCACGGGAGTTGTATTCTTCATGTCAGAGATAGTCAATGTGTTGCCTTTAGTGGTCTTCACGAATACATCGAAGTTGTCAGTGGTAACGTTCTTACAGTCTCTGGAAGATAAATAAGAGAATTTTCATAAACATAGTTATAACCATAATCATCGTCATCATCATTACCATCATCATCATCGTCGTCATTACATCATCATCTTAATTGGTGTGATCATCATCATAATCATCATTATCACCAATCACCAGCATCATCATCGCCATCACCACCACCAACATCACCACCACCCCACCATCATCATCAAAAACAACACAAACATAATCATCATTTCTTTAATGTATACATTCTCATCCCCGACCCTTTTAGAGGACCCTTATAATACGTTAATAAATTAAAATATTCAAATAATATCAATTCGAATATTTACTTTTAATACGTTAATAAATTAAAATATTTTAATAATATCAATTCATCATCATCATCATCATCATCATCATCATCATCATCATCACTGTCACCACTATCATAATCATCATTTCTTTAATGTATACATTCTCATCCCCGACCCTTTTAGAGGACCCTTATAATACGTTAATAAATTAAAATATTCAAATAATCTGAAATGAATTGAAATCTGAAATGGAAAAAAAAAAAAATCCAAGGATGGTACGATATCCCATTATTCATCTAATTTGAAATGATGATAAGTTATGACAATATACACGAAGTACAAATCAAATTCTGTAAGATATTATAAATGTATACAGTTATTGTTCATTGTGTTAATAACATCAAACATATAATTACAGTAATGATTAAAGTTAAAGTATAGAGAAATGTAGAAGTCGATACTGGAAATTCCCATCATTACGTCACAGATCTGCGTCATCGATATGCATCTCACGATAGGCCTACGTTACGCAGTGAAGTGTAGCTACGATGGGAAATTCCAGCGTTTGATTAATTCATTTTCATTCGTCTTGATAGGGTACTAACATATCGTAAACGTCACGAATTTAAATCAAAAGACAGATTAATAAGAATTCAATTCGAATATTTGCTTTTATTGTTTTTGCTTAAATAGAAACAGGTCAATTTTAATATTTTACTTACTTCCCATGCAATATATTATCGATTAGCTTCTGCTCCGATCTCATGTTGCCTTGCAGCCAACGCAGAATGTTGCCAAGGGATTCATGTGTATACTGCTCGAAGAGATTTTCAGTTGGGTTATGAAAATTCGGCAACTTACGATCCTCCAGGAACTTGATTAGTGTGCTGAGTAGGTCTTTAAAGCGATGATGAAGTTCATCCTGATGCCATGACCCGATAGGACTACTTGTGTCATCGTTGAGATGCAACATGCAGGTCTTCAGGTGGTAGGATGACAGCATTCCGAGTTGGGAGGAACCTCTTTTCTTCTGGATTGTCTTCAGGATCTTCAGACATGCTCGATGGCATTCATGCTCCCAGTCCATCCCACGGACGATAAGCTTTTCCTTCTCTGTATAACTTCTACGCCAGAGCTGGTCAAAGATATTCTGTCCTGGTGTATGCCTAGAATTCTGCTTCTCAGCCTTCGGGTGCCTCTTGGCAACGTAGTAACGGCCACCAAGTTCAATGCATGGAACCACATCGACAGATAGTTTTTCATTACGACCGTACACGACATCCAAGGTCAGGGCTGGTTCACTAACTCTTAGAGTCATCGTTATGTCTGGTAGTTCTTTGTTCATTCTGTTTATTACTCCTTGCACCAGTGACTGCATGTGTCGAAACGTGGATATCGGGCTAAGATTACCATTAACAATACATCGGTCCAAACTTGTTGCTACATGTTTCTCAGCTTTTTTCATGAAGTAATATCCTGGAGCATTGCACCCATTGACCCCTTCAGCTTCGACTGCTTCCCACACACCGACGGTGACCATCTTCAGAGGAACCAGTAGGTCAAATTCGTCTTCCTTCATTACTTTCAATCCATCGTACGAGCTTCCTTGATGAAAGATGTCCCCGAAATCATGATTACACGATGCTTTTATATGACGTTGAAACACCTGTTTGATCTTCTCTAATACAGATTTGGCTCGCTTTTGGTCGGCAACAGGAATAGCCACGTGATCCATGAAGTATTTTCTTAGCTCGTCAAGTAACCTGCTTCTTTCCTTGTTTTCAGATCCAATTTGGTTCTCCTCCTCTGTATCTGGATCTCGTTTCCGTTCATTTCGTTTGGTTGCCATGACAGTATCTGTTGTTGCGCTTTTTTTTAAAGCATATATCTGAAATGACAACATATGATTTCTCTGTTCACATGCATTTCTAATGAAGTACCTTACTGAATTTCAATTAATGACGTTGAATGTGCTATTCTAATTCCGTGACAACATATGATTTCTCTGTTCACATGCATTTCTAATGAAGTACTGAATTTCAATTAATGACGTTGAATGTGCTATTCTAATTCCGTAAATAAAATGTGAATTTTATGATTTTTATTATTTCTATGTCTATGTCAGTCACCGTTAAAAATAAATATCCCATTATTCATCTAATTCGAAATGATGATAAGTTATGACAGAATACACGAAGTACAAATCAAATTCTGTAAGATATTATAAATGTATACAGTTATTGTTCATTGTGTTAATAACATCAAGCATATAATTACAGTAATGATTAAAGTTAAAATATAGAGAAATGTGGAAGTCGACACTGGAAATTCCCATCATTACGTCACAGATCTGCGTCATCGATATGTGTCTCATGATAGGCCTACGTTACGCAGTGAAGCATTGAATGAATGCACATTAGTATGCTGTTGCGCAAGTGTAGCTACGATGGGAAATTCCAGCGTTTGATTAATTCATTTTCATTCGTCTTGATAGGGTACTAACATATCGTAAACGTCACGAACTTAAATCAAAAGACAGATTAATAAGAATTAATAATATGCCTATGTGTACGTCAAGAAACGTCGGTGTCCGCCACTATGTATTTTAGTGTACCAAATATCATCCAAGCAAGGTAAATAAGGCACTTCCTGTAGACC